TCAATATATGATGGTTAGACCCTAGTACGTATGACTAGATAACCAGAGTCATGGATATGATGGTTATGACTATGTATTAGCAAAATGTGAATTTTCTCAAATGGAAGAAAATTGGGCTTCAGTTGAAGCAGCTAGATAGGTGGTGTCTCAAGAGTGTAAGGACTTGGCTAAGTTCAAGAAGTGTAATTCTCCTTAGTTTAATGGTGTGCCTAATCTAAATGTGGTTGACCAATGAATCAATGAGTTATGTTGTTTATATGCTGATTAGTGAGGTTGTGTACTGGTAGAGGGGTATCCAACAAATGTTAGAGGCTAGAGGTGATGTAGTGGACTAAGAATGCTTCAAGAAGATGTTGCTTAAGAAGTATTGCCTTGATAGTGTGAAGTATGCCACGTAGGCGAAGTTTATGAGATTGCATCAATGGAGCTTGATTCTTATAAAGTATGCTATGAAATTTGAGCATTTGGCCCACTTTTGTCCCTAATCTATCTTTGAGGTTTGGAGGTGCAAGAAGTTTATTGAGGGGTTGCGACATAGTTGAAGTGGGTGGTGGTACCTATGGCCATCACAGAGTATCCTACCTTGGTAGAGATGGCAAAGACAATTGAGAGGCTAGAGTGTGATGGAAAGGTGACTAAGGATCAAGAGGGGCCAACTTGGTCTAGGAGGGGTGAACAACAAAGGAAACCTTATGATAAACCTCTCAAACAACAAAGGAATTTTGTTGCAAGGAGACCTCCATCAATTGCTCAAGGTGGAGCTTCAAGTGTTATGTGTTTCAAATGCAGAGGAGCCTATTTTAGTAGAAAATGTACTTAGAAGGAGAATAAGTGCTTCAAATATGGCAGGATTAGCCATATCTTGAGAGGTTATTCAGTAGGGGTTAGTTTGCCCAAGAGTACTTAGAGAGTGGATTTTCATACTAAAGCAAGTCAAGTGTTTGCTTCGTTAGAAGCTAAGGCTTGTACTTCCTTTGACTTGGTGAGGGAAAGGAAGAATGATTAGTAAGGATTTTCTCATCTTGTTTGATTCTAGAGATACACAATATTTTATTTTTGTTGATTATATGCAGAGGTTGGCTTGGATGTGAGTTCTTTACATGTTGATTTGACTTTATCTACTTCTACATTTACTTCTATGGTTACTTCTGAGGTGTGCTTGAGATGTCCAATAGAGGTGTATGGTAGAAGTTATAGGGTAAACCTAATTTGTGTGCCTATGATGGAGATAAACATAATCTTAGGTATGGATTGATTATTTGACAATCACTTTCTGATAGGTTATGCCAGAAGGAAGTTTATTTTTCCATAGGTTGAAAAAGATGGGTTGATAACTACTAAGTAGATGGATGATATGTTGAGGGAAGGAGGTTAGTGTTTTGTACTTTTCTCTACTTTGAGTGTTGAGACCAAGAAGTTGATCAATGTGATTGAAATGGTCAAAGATTTCTCGAAGGTGTTTTTGGATAAAGTGTTTGGCTTGCCCCTTCATTGGGAGGTGGAGTTTAGTATTCACTTTGTTTCAGGTGTAAGGCTAGTGTCAATAGCTCCTTATAGGATGACTCCAATTGAATTGGTTGAGTTGAAAAAATAAGTTGATGATTTCTTGGAAAAGTAGATGGTTAGGTTGAGTGTGTTTCCATGTGGTGTTTTAGTGTTATTGGTAAAGAAGAAAGATGGTAGAACTCGACTATGTGTAGACTATAGATAGTTGAACAAGTTGACCATTAAGAATAAATATCCACTACCTAAGATAGATGACTTGATGGATAAGTTGAAGGGAACATTTGTGTTTTTCAAGATAGATTTAAGATTTAGATATCACCAAATAAGGGTGAAAAAGAGTGATATACCGAATACTACTTTTAAGACTAGGTATGATCATTATGTGTATGTGGTGATGTCTTTTGGTAAGACAAATGCCCCGATTGTGTTCATGGAGTATATGAACATGATCTTCAAACCTTTCTTAGATAGATTTGTTATGGTATTTATTGATAATATCCTTATCTATTCAGGATCTCTAGATGAGCACAAAGAGCATTTGAGACTAGTGTTGGAGGTGTTGAGCAAAAACCAATTATATGTCAAGTTGTCCAAGTGTGACTTTTGGCTTAGTAAAGATAAGTTATTGGGACATGTGATTTCAATTGAAAGGATTTTGATGGATCCAACTAAAGTGGAGATAGTGATGTAAAGGGAGCTTTCATAGACAGTTTTTGAAATTAGGAGTTTTGTTGGGTTGACAGGTTATTATAAGAGATTTATAGATGGTTTCTCCAAAATAGTGATACCTCTAACTCAATTGACTAGAAAGGATCAACCTTTCATTTAGTCAGATGCTTGTGAGAAAGGCTTCATGGAGTTAAAGAGAAAGTTGACTACTTCTCCTATATTGGTGCTACCTAACCCTAGTGAGCCATTTGATGTGTAATGTGATGCTTCTCATTAGGGAGTTGGGATGTGTGTTGATGTAAAATAGGAAAATAGTAACATATGTTTCAAGGCAACTTAAGGTTCATGAAAGGAAGACATTATTTATATGAGGCCAAGTTTAGTGTTTTTAATGATCACAAGAGTCTAAAATATTTGTTTGATCAAAAAGAGCTAAAAATAAGATAAAGAAAATGGATGGAATTTTCTAAAAGATTATGATTTTCAATTGATGTATCATGATAGAAAGGCTAATATGGTGGTGGAGCTCAAAGCAAGAAATACTTCTACATGTCTTCTTTGATAGTCAAGGAGTTGGAACTAGTTGAAAAATTATGAGACTTGAATCTCTGTGTAGAGTTGACTCAATATCACATTAGTTGTGGGATGACTATCATAATTAATGAATTCTTAGATTAAGAGAAAGAGAAACAAATGTAAGACCCAAAATTACTAAAGATTAAAAGATAGAAGATTATGGGATTTAAGTTGAGTAGAGATGAAATTTTGAGGAACTAATTAGACAAGTTTATTTTATACAATAAAAATGTGATAATTTTTTTTTGGAAGAATATTTTTAAGATGAATGTATAAATAAAATACAAATAAAAATAATTAAATATGATGATTGTTTTACAGCAAATAAATATGATGTTAAAGATAACATTTCCTATTTAAATAATATTATTATAAATATATAATTTAGAAAAAGAAATTGATGATTAAGTTTTCATTTCATCTCATCTCTGTCAATAATATGGACAAATTTATAATACTAAATGCTACTTTCAACTTTTGTTAACCAAGAAAAACGACTGAATTGTAAATTTACATATAGTACTATTGTTGATATTAAAGTATTCAGGAAACATTTTTTTTAATGAAGGAATAGAATCAGATTTGATTAGGGGTGTGACAAAAATTCAAATTGATCCGAACCGATCCATAATTGATCCGATCCATTTTGAAAAAAAATCCAAATCGAACCACCTTATAAAACCGGTTCAGTTATTCGATCCATTTTTACAAAGTGGATCAGTTTGGTTCGGTTTGATTTTTAAAAAAAACTGATCTATATGTGAGTAAAAAGTGGATAAAGAACATTCATCACTCCTCCTTACCATTTCCATCAATTTGTTACTTGTATATAAAACAATTTATGTTGTATGCGCTGTTTGTTTGACAACCGAAATAACTCAGTTCATATAGAATATTTATTAAATAAATCGTGGTGATAAATAGTGTATTGAAACACCTAAGTGTGTCTTGATACGTAGAGATTTAATTTGTATAGCACGAGACATCAATGACATAATACCTAAAGGGGTGAACTGAACAAAAATTCAACAGGAAGAACCACATCACAACTCTCATTAATGACTATTATGCCGAAACCTATACCTCTATCTCTGTACACTAAAAAAAACAAAGGAAAAGGGAAAAAGGTATGTTGTTAGCTAAGGTAGACTTCTTTTGTGGCAAAAACTTCATATAGAAGTAGAACCACATTAAAATGTTGGAGCCTCTGCCTGGTATACACACAGTGACAATGTTAAATGAATTTCTTGTTTCGGCCTGAAAATGGTAACTCCTAGGATAATTTATTTGACTTTGAGAGCTGGAAAATAGTGGGGAAGAAAGAAGATTTTGGGACATTTTAGAAAGCAGTTTAATTGAGATCATGTTTAATAAATTTTTATTATATAAAGGCTTATTTTTAAGTGCTTAAAATTACTAAAACACTAAAGAAAAAAAAAACAGCTAAAAATTTTCAATTAATCTTTAAAACATTCTCGTTTGAGAGAATTATTCTAAATTATATATAGAAAGAGATATATAGAAGAGTATTATTGATAAATTTAATATTTTTTTTAGAAAACGTAATACTTGGTTTAGATTTAGAGTAATCTCAAGGAGTTCATACTCATCAGAAACCTCGTTGTAAGCTTTGGTGAAAGGTTTGAGGGGTAATGGACATGGGTCTTTCTTATGTGTGCTATATAAATTCACAAATGTGGGCAGCAAAAGAGCAACTGATCATAAAAATAAAAAATAAAAATAAATGTCAGTAAGGATAGTAACGCAGAGAATCAAATACTCCTAAAATTCCCTAAGCCGTTTGGACTGAGTTCTCGTTCAACTATCTTAAGCATTTTAGCCTCACAGACACAGTACAGTATAAGAGATATAACTCACTTTGTTTCATCTTTTCCATTAATTCTGGTCCAATTTCCCATCATGAAACAATGAATAACGCACCAACTGTGTTGACCTTGATATAATGTATTTGGTAACACCAATATAATGATAATAAAGCCCAGACCATTGATAAATCACATTGCTTCATTTTACAACAGGCTATACTCGTATCGATTTGCTGAAAAAGAAACTGCTCTAAACAAAACAATAAGACATAAAACTGATCTTTTGAATCATTCATATCACAATTTGCAGCCAAGAAAATTATCATTTTTTAAAAATATCTAGCATGATGAGATTCAAAAAACCGTCTCCATGGATGCCGAAAAAGGGTGGGAAACATGATTAGTCTATATGTACTGCAAAGCAGTATAAAATATAAATTAGAATTAAATGTCTTGATTGCATTACAATGGCCTTCTAACCTAATTGACATACACTTCACTATCCCCTCTCCCTCCTAAAATAATAATCCAAAATCCAGAACAAGTCACTAACATAAGGGATTTATCAAAATCTTTGCGCTCAAAAAGATTACTCAGCCATCTAGGTGTACAAGGTAAAAATACAATTTATCCTACATCTTGACTGCTACCTGTTCAGCATAACTTTTCTTCACAAATCCTCTGGAGGACAACTCATTCAACAACTCCAAAGCTTCCTCAGCTAATCCCTCATCAGCAATGCCTTCTATGAGAATGGTATACGTAGCTTCCGTAGGTTTGCATTCTTTGGCTACCATATAAGCCAGAAAATCAATAGCCCGACTAGTCTGCTGAGCCTTACAAAGTCCCAACATGATCGAATTGTAAGTGATAGCATTGGGCTTAATACTTAATTCTTCCATGTCATGGAAAATTTTGATAGCCTCATCAACCTTCCCTTCACGTCCAAGTCCCCGAAGCAGTGAAGAGTATGTAATTATATCAGGTTTAAGACCCTTTCTGCACATCTCCTCTAACAGCTCCACAGCACGCTCTGTTTTCCCCACCTTTGAAAGGCCATCAATAACTGTATTATAAGTAATCAAAACAGGAGAGCATCCCTTGCTGCTCAGTTGATTCAGTATTTCAACCGCAGCATCCACCTTCCCGTCTTTGCACAGTGCTGTAAGCAAAGTGTTATAGGTCACTATATCCGGGTAACAACCCCTTGACACCATTATTTCCAAATACTCAATCGCTCTATCCATCTTCTTCTCTTGACAAAACCCATGAAGCAATGGATTGTAACTCAAGGAATTCGGAACACAACCATGCTTCGGCATTTTCTCCAACACATCAATGGCTCTACCCAGCAACCCTTTCCTGCACAAGAAGTTAATCAAGATATTGAAAGTAACAACACTAGGGGAACAACCCTTCCTCAACATATCAGTTAACAGCCTCTCAGCATCCATCCATCTCCCAGTGCTACACATGCTACGCAAAATAATATTATGAGTAATCACATTAGGTTGACAACCATACGAAGGCATGTTATTCAAAAACTTAATCGCCTCATCCAACCGACCCTCCTTGCAAATACCATTGATGAGAACATTGTAAGTGACCACATCAGGTTTGCATCCTTTCTTCCTCATCTCATCCAACAGTTTCATCGCCTGACCAACGCCACTTTCGTTACAAGTCGCTTCAATCAAAATGGTGTAAGTGATCACATCAGGATAACACTCCCTCTTCAGCTGCCTATCAAGAACCTCCATTGCTTCCTTGAGCTTCCCACTATCACACAAACTTCTCAAAATCGTGTTGTAGGTAACAACATCGGGTGCAACACTCATTCGTTCCAAAATCTGCAATGCTTTGTCTATCTCCCCTGACTTGCAATAACCACCAATTAGAACGTTGTAGGTTATGACATCAGGAACAGCACCGGAATTTTCCAAAATTTCCATGATTCTCGTTGCTTTCTTAGTCCTTCCACTCCTGCAAAACCCTCGAATCAAGCTGGTGCAAGCAATGACATCGGGAATGTCCCCTTGGTAAATCATGCGCTCCAGAAACTTAAACCCTTCGTCGAATTCCCCGTTTCTAACCAGCTTCCGGAGATGACTGTTGCTCCCAAACTCCTCGAAGTTCCGGGAAGATTCCACGGCTACGCCGTTCACGATTTCTTGCAACCTGCCGTTCAAACCAGAGGTTTCGGACTTGGAAACGGCGAAAACGCGATTGTGTAAACGCTTTCTAGACCTAGCGGCCTTCAATTTTGTGAAACGAGTAACGGTGTCCGGAGATAGAAGGAAAGGGCGAGAAACGGCGTTATCCAAAACCCTAGGTCTGATTCTGTGGAAATGGTGAAATTGTTCGGGCGGTGCCACTAAGTCCATTGTTGACACTTAACGGTGAAAGCGTGGTGAGAGAAATATGAGATATGTGGAAAAAATAGAATCGGCGAATGAGAAACGGTTTTCGGTTACCTCATGAGTTGAGAGGTTCGACGGAGAAATGAGAAGGCGTGGTGGCTTCTGTTTCAGAGGTTTAAGACTTACTTATCCGATACCCCTTGCTTCTCGTTTCTACAAGACACAGGTTTGTAGTTTTTGTCGTGAAAAAAAAAAACACACACACACACACAATAGGCTTGGACTGGGCTTGCGGTTTTTGAATGGGCTCTACCTTTTAAGGGCCCTCATTTTCGCACCTCCTTTCTTGCTATTGTGGACTCTCCTCAAATCTTACCATCATAATAAAATTCAATCTTGTAATAAAGATGAGATTTATATATAGTACAATCTTCCACTGTCAAGTTGCAATTAATTAAAAATAAGGAACTCTCATAGTCAAACCAAGTTATTAGTTTACTATTCTTCTACCTACCACTTATTGATAATCTAAGGTACTTCATCAAAAAAGGAAAATCTAATTTTTTTTATATGTCTGTTTATAGAAAAGGAGTAGGGAATTATCTTTAAAAATTATTTTATCTTAAAAATTGTTAAGTCTAAAATGACAATTTTTCTACCTCTTTAAGCTAAGATAGCTAAAAGGGGAGAAACAAAATCTAGTTATATGCATTCATTTTTAACATAATGATCTTCTAATTATAACGATCCGATTTAATTTTTACATTGTATGATATAGTAACTAGTAGTGACAAATATTTAATTTAAGACTACAAATATACAAATACTATAAATATACAAATATCTAATTTAAGATTATATTGCAAGTATATAAAAAAATTAACTAAATAAATAGATGTAATATAAATACAAATCTAATAATGTAAACTATACATTCTAAATTGTCAGTTAAGCAACTACACAGTATATACAAAACTACCATCAATGGATAGTCATCAAAATGTCATCTAGCTCCTATGTCACTGGTTGGCCTCCACTGCATCTCTTCAACCTTATCCTTACATTGCTTTCATATCACGTATGATCATTGCAGTCCACACAACATGGAAACATGCAAGGGTAAATTAGAGTAAAAAGAAACAACATAAATACATCACAGAAACACCACGGAAACATCACAACATCATTTCATCTTGAACAACACAATATACAACACAAATCAACACAGTGTCACTCTGATTATCAACCCAACATCACAGATCATCTCAACTCAACATAGCATATAAACAACACAATCAACTCAACACATCATATGCTCACACACAACAACTCATATGCGTCATCATACATTTCAACTACGAGATCTCCTACAACATAGGGTGAACAATTTAAGTGACTTGATTTTACCAAACCAATGACACATGATTATCTTTTTGGACTTGTTAGATCAACAATAAATTGGATATAAATCCACAACACAACAACTCTATTTCTCAAATGTCACTATTTAAATAAGGAAGTATAATACTAGTGTCAGGATAGAATAGTTGGGTATGACCCTACCACGACATTAGCTAGCTTAACCAAGTCTCTTATGGGATTAACCCACCAACTACTCTCCAATACTACAACCTTTTGATACTCGGTTAGGAACTTAGTTTCTGACTTCGTACTTTACTCGGTTGGTCACTTGTAATTAGTATAACTCGATTTGACTCCTATATTGTGATCGCTTCATACACATGTGCCTCAACCTTACCCACACATGGTACTAACAAAGTCCTAGAGAAGAAATAACTCAACATCCACTTCAAGGGTCAACTTTCCAAGAAGGATTTTTCAACAAATTGAGCTCTTAGAGCATTACAACTCAATATCCACACAATAAGATATTCAACTTTCAAAAACATCTCATCTAATTTTAAGCGGTCAATACAACTCAACAACACAGCAACTCATTATATTTTCAACATAGCAACACAATTAACATACAACTTTTCAACTCATATCTCCATAATCACAACTCATTTACAACTCTATAATCAATATACATATCAACAACACATCATACTTTCAACATAACTACACGATCAACACACAACATGGTCAACACACAACGTACAACTCATTTCTACTTTTCAACTAACAACTCACAACCAAATCATCATATACTACATCATCTCTACAACTCGTTCAACTTAAATCATCAAGAAAGCAACTCTTCATAAACCATATCATCATATTTTTCTTCAACAACTCACACTTGGCACTACTTACCTTGCACTCGATGTCATCCAGGCACTGAACTGCAGAGAGTTCACTGCCTTAACCACGACCAATGCTACACAACCCGTGTTCGGCATGGCTAAGGTAGAGGCCCTTGGACGTCTCGCCTAGCGTGGTAAAACACCACACCTAGCCCATCTCAGGTAAAGAGTCTCTACTTGAGTCTCGCCCGACATCACCAACTCGACGCCCAACAAAATCCAGACAGAGAGCTCTAGCTTGGTCACATTGGGGTGCCTCATAACATTGAGCCTGCATCACCATGTTAAAGAGCTCTTAAGGCTTTTATGCTTGACACCATTCAACCATGCTCGACACAGTTCCAACCCGAGACAAGTCTCTCTCATCACGCTCAGTGCCACCAACCCAAGATTGAGATAGAGGTTCTTAAGTTAGAACAACGTCTAGCACCTTGAAGGCATGCCCGATGCGACATCAAAATTTTGCATATGTAGAACATGATTTTGAGCCACAACCTACAATCCAACACATGCAACAAAATGTAATGTTTCTACTCAACTCAAACAACTCAAATCATGCACAAAAATCAACATGCAACAACAACATATGCAAATCATCATATCTCCTCCTTCATGTAACTCAACCTCAACCCTCACACATCTCTTCACCAATTCCATCAATTCATCCATTTTAATTTGAAATCCAAACCACATTCAACACCAAAATCATCGAGTAGCTCTACCACATAGCAAAGAAAATAAAGATCTAGCTTCCCTTACCTTGATAGCTCAAAGCCTAGGTTAAAGAAAGAAGAAGAGAACGAAACTCCGCACGATATCAGTGACTTGATTCAAGTTTTTCACCACTTGAATCACAACAATACAACTTAGAAAGGAACGAGGAAGAAGAAGAGAAAAAGATTGAGAGAAAAAATCTCACAAACTAAAGACTTTCTTTCTAGAATCCTTTCTCTAAGAACCTAAGGGAAATGAGTTTATGAGACTTTGTTCAAAATAAAAGTCTTATATATTCTTTCTTCTAAGGTCAAACTGAGTGTCTGTCCAAAAAACTCTTTCTTAACGTCACTGAAGCTCAAAAGGGATCCTCAGACCCTATAAATCCCCTCAACATAAACATCTTAACTTAGCATCCTAATATAATTAGGAGTAATATAAACACTATTACAACTCACAATATTACACTAATCCACACACTATTAATGATATTTGATTATTATCTCCTAATTATCCAATTTATTGATAAATACAAAATTTTACTCACTTTCCCATAAAAGCACACAACCATGTGGTATATTAAGGACAAATAATAGTTTTATTTTTATCTTATTTAATTTTCTTTTGGATAATTAATGTTAAAAAAGTTAAAATAAATTATAAAATTAAATATTCTTAATTAATTTTAAATATCATATATACTCTTATGTTTATATATAAGTATATATTATTTATATAGAATATTAAAGCTAAATCACCCTTAAAATTAGAAGAAAAAAAGTCATAATTACGAAACTAATAAAAGTTCTCATGTCCATGACACCAAACTAACTATTTTTATGTCTTGTACTTAGAAATTTCAATCAATTAATTTATTTATATAAGACTCTTCTACTTAGTCTATAATCAAATTTATTGGTTATTTGATGTAAAATTGATTTAACTTAAATTATATTATGGAATTTGAGTTTTAAATATATAATTGTATTAAATATTTAAAGAGACAGTTTTCACACTCATAATCGTTCTATAATTTTTAATAATTTTAGTAAATGTTTTTCAAAATAAAATTTACAATAACTATAAAAATAAGATATAAGTGTAAACAAACTAAATTATTTGAGTTTTATAATAAAAAATTACAAATCTAATATATATATATATATATATATATAATAAATTTATTATTTTTATAAGCATACATGTACAATTTATGCATAATTTTGTAAAATCTTTAAAACAATTATTAATTTTATACTTTTTAATACAAGAACACGCATTTAAATGCAAATTTTTCTTCAATTTAACTTACAAACTTTAATAAAAAAAAAGTTTACATAATTTATGCAAAAACAAAAATCTAATATTTTTAAAACAATCTATACATTGAAATAATTTATTTAATATTTTTTCATTTTCTCCTTTCATATTAATTATCAAGATTTTATAATTTATTAATAGATTTCATAAGTTCTTGAAACAATAATAGATTTCATAAATTAAAATAAATTTCTTATTTTATATCAATTTTTTTAATTAATCTCTCTCTCTCTCTCTCTATATATATATTATTAATTTTTATTTTTAAAATCCTCAAAGTAATTGTTAATTTTATAGTTTTTAATAAAAACACAGTTAAATAAAAATTTAATCTTCAATTTAGTTTAAAAAATTTTATAATTAATTTTACATAAATTCTACGATAAAAACTATTTAAAAACAAATTATCAAAATGGTTGATTTCATTCACCAAATTCACCATTTACTAAAAAATAATCAGTAATCATATTCTACAATTTACTATTTCTTAAATTCTCCATTAATTACATAAAATAATTATAGAAAATATAATATTTAATTAATTTAACATTTAAATTCATATATAATATATATAAATAATATAAACACATATATAATTAATATATATTGGATTCTCAATTTCCTTCTCAATTTTCATTTTTTAACATATTCATCTCATCATTTAAAGCAATAAATTTCATATATCTTTAATTTTTTATTAGTAAAAAAAATACATGTTTATGTCAAAAAAAAAATTTCATATACCTCCATTTCTAATGATATATTTCTAATTATAAGACTCAACATATATTTTAATTAGTTAGGGAAGTAAATATTAATTATGAGAGAAGTAACATAAAAAAATATATTTTAATTGGTAAGAGAAAAATAAATAATAAAGATAATTTTAATTAACATTATAAAAATAAAATAAATTTATAATTAATTACTTTGTTTTTAATTTTGATGAGTTAAGTATTTATATCCAAGTTGATTAAACGGTAGATGGTTGGTGGCTCCGTCGCCTTAATGGCGCGTAAGGTACACGGCAGCTACATTTCTCAATCATCTATTTAAATGGGCGAAGGTCTCCGAATATCAGAGTTGTTAAGTTAAACATTAGGAATCAATTCTCCATTTTGTATTTTTCACCCAAATCTTTCAAAACCTAATCCTTTTCTTTCTCTTTAATTATTGCATACTGCTTCGTTCCAAGATCTGTTTCTAGTACGAAGTTTTCTTGGATTTTCTTGTTTCTACGACATGGACATGGGAACTGTGCCCGATCAAACAATTAGTACATGCACTCACTGGTAAACGCCCCCGTTCCCAATTTAGGAGTTATGGAATCATCTCCAATTATCTGAAATTTGTGAACTAGGTCTAGTATTCTGGTTCTTGAATCTTGATTTGCTTTTCCGTCAGGAAATAAATTATGGCTAATCGGGGTTGTTTGTTTCGTGGTTTAAGTAATTTAACCCGTTTTAGAATTCTTGATGGCCTTCTTGAGTGGTTTATTGGAAGCACATTTGATTCGTAGAATCGCTTCAGGGTGATATATACCTTGTATGATTGTTGATTGTTGATTTTTTTCCTTCTTTCTTTTCTCCATTTGGGATGTTAGTTTGTTCACCTTGAATGCCTAAATTATGTGGTTATGTCTGTCTTCAAGAAACCTGACCTGTTTATTTTTTATGGTTTTAGTGATCGGGCTATCCCTTCGGCAAATATTGAATTACATTATGCTCATTGTTCCCGAAACCTTGAAAGGTGCAAAATTTGTTACGAGATGGTTCCGAAACTACGTGCTGAGGAGCACTATTTAAACACCCATGCCCCGGTATGGAAACTTTTGATTTTGTTTTATTCCTTCGTTTTTAGGTCAGAGAAATTACTGGCAAACACAAACCTATAAGTTGAGAAGTTCATGGTACTTAGTGCTGAAGAAAAAATGGAGAATAAATACAAGAGATTTTGAGTTTATTTTGAAAATTTTTCTGCGTCTAAAAGTGATGTCTCATTTGGCTCTTATTTGAACCAAAATAAAATTGGTTTGATAATAGGTAGGGGTGGAAAATGATCCCCCAATCCATGTATCATTCAATCCAACTCATCTAGTTATGACAATAGATCTAATGAGTCGGATTTTTCAGATCTATTCTGTTTATAATGGTTATGGGGTCACCTCACCAGTTTGAAAGTTGTAACAGTAGCTTTTAGAAAATATTTTATAATTTCCTTTTCCCCCTCATTTTTCCCCATGCTTTCCTAATGTAAATTTGAAAACAACCTAATAAAAACATAGTTAATTTAATTTGAACAAAAATGATAACCCAACTGTATCCGTATGTAATTTAATTCTTAACTGAAAGTAGTAATTTTGTGGATCCTGAACTGTGACATAAGAGAATGGCAGAGTTCTAATTCCATCGAAATATAAAAATTAGAAAAAATAATAATAGATGGACTGGATTGAAAAATCTTTACTATCATGGCTTCTAAGTTATTGGTGCTTTAGTTCTTATATTTGGGTTATACCCCAATCAGGTGTTGGTTCAACATTGTTTTTAAGATAATTGTGGTTTATAGGGAATATATATTGGTCGGTGGGAATTTTAGTTGTTTAAAGGATTCTTACTTGGATATTTTGTATGCAGTTGATACAGCAGGATAGGTAAAGCTTTAGTACTTGAGTATAAAGATATAAAGATTACTTATTTAAGCAGATCCTGAAATTTCCCCTTACTATGTAAATATGGCTTTAATTTTCAGTAATCATGTATGGAATGGGGATTAGATGGAAATTTTGCAGTAACATGTTGATAATTTATTGAACCAGTCCTAGTTTTACTGTGTCATCTATATAATATGAAGGTGCCTATCATATCATAGAGGGTAGAAACTTGGAGTGTCAAGTCCATATGCTAAAGGAGGCTGGCTACATGCTCATCGGTTCCTTCCCAGGGGTCCCCCTTCACCTTCTCCCCCCATAGCACACTAAAACACAGTTCATGAAGTCAGATTTAAATTTCACATTTGCAATGGTTATTCAAAAGAAAAATGTCAATTTGTGCAGGTTTCCTGTTCGTTGTGCAGTGAGACTATGGAACGTGATATTTTAGATATCCATAGAGGTGAAAATTGTATTAGAAGAATGGTCACATGTGAGTTTTGTGAGTTTCCTTTGCCAGCAATTGATCTGGCTGAGCATCAGGTAGTGTTCATAAAGAACTTTTTGCATTAAGAATGTTATATTAATCAATGTACTCGGGTACTACTTTCAGTTTGATTTTTGAACATTCAGGAAGTATGCGGGAATCGAACAGAACTTTGTCACCTTTGTAACAAATATGTTAGACTGCGTGAAAGATACAACCATGAAGATAGTTGCAACAGAATTCAAGACAATTCTGCAGGGTCGTCAAGGTAGGAAATTTCGTAATTTGATTGTAGTATGTGTTTGAATTAGATTATTTTTGTGCTTCAAAAAGCTATATGATCAAAAGTTCCTTGTCAGAGCTTTGGGAGGAAAAAAAAAGTGACTATTTTCCTCAAAATAATAAAAAAAATGCACTGGCCAAAAATTATTTCTTAATGCATCTTATGAGGATTAGGGATGGATGTTAAGGATGTAACAATAACTTACAGCATCCAACGGTATTTCTTTTATTCCACTAAACTACCATTTTTCCTCTAAAGGTACAAGTGACATCAATGCGGTCTTTTAATATTTATTTTTACAACAAATTAGTTCTCAAGATTTTGAAGGATATAAAAAAGTGGTCCTTTTATCAGGCTCCGTGTGACATCAACTTGAATTATTGTTCAATAAATCTTTAGGGGACTGTTTTTTAATATCACTTAGTATCTTGGAAGGCCAAACCGATGCCAAGTGTATCTTTCGAGCACTAAAATGATAGTGTAATAAATTTAGGTCACTGATGAGGATGATGGGCGATTGTCATTTATTGTAATTGAATTATTTACTTGTAATTTTTGTGTGAAGGTACGTCAGGCCAGCTGAAAGAGATGATGGTGCTCAAAGAAGGCCACGGCCACGGCCACGGCCACAAAATGATTTATCAAAAAGACGTCTTCTTTTCACAATAGCAATTACTGGTATTGCTGTTATGCTCGGATCCATTTTTTTCCAGAGAAAGACAGATCCCAGCAGTGTGCAATAGCAACGGAGATTGTGTAAATTTGCTTGATCTGTACAATTTATTTGCATACAACAGAAAGTCGTATCAGAACATATCGGCATTATCATTGAATTATTTCTGTAGTCTTGTATTTTGATGGTGAGAACTGCCAAGTACCAATAGATAAATGAGTCATTCATTACAATGATTGCTATTTGTTGACAATCCTCCAATTATTCAAGAACTGCAATATCGTTTTTGGATAATTTTTTTTAGCCAATATTAAATAAATTTTAATCAATAATAAAAGTATTCAGATGAAAAATGAGTATTTAACATTTTCTACTACGCATTTTTTGATATAGAGGACCCCATGCATTACTTCCTTTTTAATATAGGATATTTCAAATTTACCTGTGCCTGTAGGAGAAAAAGAAAACATTTCTTAAAATCATAGATCAATTTCAATTTAAATCAAATTAAGATACAAATGAATTACTATACTAATTTAGTCTCAGAATTCTTCAAAATAAATTTAAAATCTCTTTTATTTTTCTGTTTTTCTTTACCACCAAGTAACATGAGTTTCTCAACCTATTCGTTTGTCAGTAATTTCTTTAAATTGATCCTGGAAAAAGAGAAAAACAAGAAGCCCGAACCATGTTGCGACAAATTTTTCATCTTTCAAAGTTTCGTCCATGCACGAGCATAGTGTATGTGCAACCAATATTCCCAACATGGGATGGTCCGATAGTGAATGCGGGTTAAAGTTCTCTCCACAGACGCTAATTATTTTTCATCCAAGTTCTCTGTTAAATAGATATGGTCTATGTTCCAAAACTAATACAAAAGATTAATTTATGCTTGGGAAGATAAAATATTATTTTAATACGGATATGAATTGAACTTGGGAGCATCAATTTAATCTTCCATATATCATAACAGATCTTACAGTCATTTGATCAAAAGATTTATTTTTTCATCAAAGTTAGATATTTATAAATGAAATATGCTTATTCATTTTTTTTGGTTAATGAATATTTGCTTCTGTTTCCCTTTCCACCCCTCTCATTTATGTGACTATTTATACAATACTTTTCATAATATTTTTAAGATATTTATTATAAAAGTAAACAAATTTTGTATTCAATAATAATACTATATCATCCGATTACAAATGTTTAAATATCTTTTTAGTTATTTATTGTAAAAAAAATCAATAAAATGATTATATATATTATATTTAGTTGTTTGTGATTGTTTGATAATGTAAAAGCACTTTAACGATATACTATATAGTATATACTCTTTATTTTGTCGCACATTTTTTTTTTTCTGCGGGAGTAAGAAGACAGATTACAATTTGACGGGATATTAGGAAGTGTTCTGTTCTGCGGCTCTGTTTTTCGTAATTATGGTGTAAGGCCATTTCCATTTTCCACACTCTCGGTAAGCGACACGTGTCTATTTCTGTTTTCCTCATCGATTGTTATTCACGAAAGATATGATTTATCGGTGTATTCCTAATATGTATTCTCGAAATTTCTTTCACAGAGTAACTAACTTGTCGCTACGCTGTTGGCTGGTAAATCACCTTATTTAATGAGGATTGTACCTATTTGTGATGTGTGTGATTAGGAGGTTACACGTTTTTGTTGACTCAGATAAATAAGGTGTCTGAAATATGTTTTTACATTTCGTTAGCACGATCGATCCTGTTTCTTTATCCGATTCCATTTCATTGCTGGATTTCTCAACCAGATTCCTTCTGTAAAAAGGAAAAACAAGGGTTCACCATGTCCGCCACTGGGGTACACTTGCACATCCAAGATCATCATGTAAGTTTACTCCCGTATCCTGTTCCTGTAATGTTCTGTGTTATGCATCAATTACATTTGATTATATAAAAAAATCCACTAGGTGTACCTAAACATCGTCATCTATTTTTAATTGCTGTATATCTCTTTTACCTTGTGCCTTAAGTTTGAATGAATCTTCGATTCTGTTAAATATAGCCTTTAACGAAATCTTGTGGCAGTAACACTGTCGGTTATGTTTTAGTTTCATGTAACTGTTTTAACTGTGCAGGTGGTGATGGATAATGGCATAGTCCAAGTTACCTTATCAAATCCGGATGGAATTGTCACTGGGATACGATATAATGGTGTAGACAATTTGCTTGAAGTCCTCAACAAGGAGACTAATAGAGGGTATGTGCCCCTAATGATGGATAATTGTTAATTGTTATGTCTCTCTCACAAGCACACAAGCCATTCTTTTTAAAATGTAATGTTTAAATGAAATGGGAATTTATCAAGCTGATAGGTAGTAATAAAGTTGAATTTTTTTTTCATGCATGAAAGCAAAAGCTAACATTAGACACAGTGAATATGGTCGACAGATTTGCCTTGAGAAGAACAGTGTGTTCTACATTTTATCATTAAGAAAGAAAAGCATACTTGCTGATTTGTGGAAATCAAAGGGAGCTCTCACTTTTTAAAGCTGGAAGCTGATTTTGTCTTTCAATTGAATATTTAGGTACTGGGACCTTGTTTGGAGTGCGCCAGGAAGCAAAGGAATGTTTGATGTGTATGACAATACTACTTTCTTTTGTAACTGCATTGTGTCTTTTTATATTATTTCAAGTCGAATTCTCGATAAAGATATATTCAAAGGCATTCACCAATTTGAGTTTGCAATTAACTTGGAAGTGGTTTTTCAGTTACACCAGAGCAGAAATAAACCACTTGCCAAACCGCTCTATTTTTGTTACATGTTCTACTTGCAATCTCATCAGTTCCATTACTGCCCAAAGGATAATATTTAGAGCATATTTGAACTCAAGATGTTATGGTCCAGGATTAAAGGAACACATTTTAAAGTTATAGTTCAAAATGAGGAACAGTTGGAGCTTTCATTTACAAGAATGTGGGATCATTCTCTAGAGGGAAAGTTTGTCCCCTTAAATATTGACAAAAGGTTCTTGCTCAAATGTTGTGTATTAGTAGTTTTTTTTTTTTTTTTTTTTTTTA